TTATAGCACCCAGGATCACCTCCCAGGGGTGGCCAGAGCCGCAGTGAGCTAGGTCTTCCCAAGAACTGTCTTACAAACTGACCTAGGGATCCAATCTGATGAAGAGAATTCTCCAGGTGAGGTTCCCTCTTCTCAGACTCTAGTATTCGACACACTGACAACAAACAAACAAAATAAAACAAACAAGCAAACAAACAAACAAAAAAACTTACCAGCCCAGCATGACTCCTACCCGCTCTGAGGTTTAGGCAAGCACTTACCTGCTTCTTCATTTTTAAATGCTCAACAGAAAGAATTGGGCACTGTATTTTGGAGGCCTCATATGGGCTAGAGTACCAGAAAGCAAACAGCATGGAATGCTCTGAGTTCCCCCACAACATCTGGGGAGAAAATATATATGTGAAGGAAACAAATGGAACTGTAGCTACTGAGTGTCCTTCCTCGGAGCCTTTTCTTTAGGGACGAGCTTTTGTTTCTTTTGACCAGAAAAAGGACAGTGGAGTTTTTAGCCCAAGTACCCTGTCGGGAGAGAAGGTCTATATAGGCAAGGATGCGCTAGCAGCTCTCCTTTTTCTCATAAAGGTGTGACATGGCACAGTAAAGCGATGAGAAGACGTCAGATGACTGACACGGACATTGGGACATCACCCTGGGATGGCACAGGTATCTGGACACCACAGCAGTGGGTCTGTTACCCAAACAGCTGCCAGGTGGTGAACAGGTGAGCAACTTATACAGCGAGCAGAGGGAGACCTCACAGTCCCGACACGACAGAACAAGACAGCACCAGGTCTCAGCATGCTACCCAGAACACGGTCCCGTTCAAAACTGATGAGCTGGGGAGCTGGGGAGGTAGTTTCATAGTTAGGAGTTTGTATTGTTCTTCCAGAGGGCCTGGAGTTTGGTTTTTCTTTTTTCTTTCTGCCTTTTTGAGGCAGGGTTTCTCTGTGGCTTTGGAGGCTGTCCTGGAATTAGCTTTTGTAGACCAGGTTGGTCTCCAACTCACAGAGATCTACCTGCCTCTGCCTCCTATGTGCTGGGATTAAAGACGTGTGCCACCAACGCCCAGCTTTTGGGCCTGGAGTTTGATTCTCAACCACATCAGGGGTCTCATAGCTGCCTGTAGCTACACACACACTTTAAAAATAATGAACTAAATAGGAAAAAAACATAAATTGTTTATTTCTGGAATTTTCCAGGGAGTGGCTTTGAACTGTAGTTGACCATGAGTAACTGAAATGACAGGAAGTAAAACTAAAGATAGATGGTGGTGGGAATTGCTGTGTATTTGACTTTCAGTAGGGTTAACAACTCTTTATTACAGAACAAGCTATCAGTCACGTCATAGTTGACAGTGACAGTTCAGTGGGCTAAAGGGAGGCTGCCTGACGAATTCCTGTGGTGAGCTACATGCCCTTCTGTGAGCCGTGTAGCATAGTCTCAGTTTCAAACGGGTGAAAGCATAAAGCATCCAGCCATCCATGGTATCTTTGGAGAGAACCCATTTCAAGATGCCCCTTGCAGGGACCCAAAACTCGTACCTATCCAAAGTCCCTTACCTTAAACAGCATAGTGTTGTGTGGATGCTGCATGCTCCCTCCTGTGGACTTTAAATCACTTTGACTTACTTAACGTACCCAATACAATGAAAAACTACACACACACTTGCCCTGCTGTATTTGAGAGAACACGAGAAATATCCATGCATATTTGACACAGACACGGTTAACAGTGTGTTCCAACCTACAGCTGGATGCAACTGTGGACCTCAAGGACATGGAGGACCCAAGGAAGCCTCCTTCTGCCCCTTTGGATGCTTGAGAATGTGAACACTTATGGACCTTAACCCAGAAGTGTTCAGGAGAACGAGGAAGGAAAAAGAGAACTGTTTTGTGTTCTGGGAAAAACACTCTCAGCTGCTAACTCGGGGCTGGAGGAAAGAGAGATGGCCATGGGGCAGGAATCTCTCCTGTTCCGTCTGCAGGAAATCAAATAAAATAAACCCCTCTTGTTAGCATAACAGTCTGCAAGGCCCTGGGGGCTCTTAGTGATTTTAGCCCAGTGTTCTTCCAGGAGAAATACACATCCCAGTCAATTAAAACCATCGACTCTGGAAATCGTTAGGAGGGGTGAGGGTTCAAAGTCTCCTGACTGACAAGAAAGGGCTCAAAGCCCAAACCTGGTAATGGTAGCACTCCATCAGCAGCTGGGAAGATAAGAAATCATATATACTCATTGCACATTCACACCGTATGGTCGTGCTAATCGGTGTCATGCTAGGTGCTGGCATTTCAGAAACCCTGTGACCCCAGCAGCTTCACAGCCCAGAAGTTTGTTTTCTCCTTCTTAACCATCCATTAAAAATGTTCCTGGGACAACAGGCATTTCCTCCACACAGGCACTCGGGCACCTGGGTCCTGCGCCAGCATGTTCTAGCGGCAAAAATCTGTCCTATGGTTGAAGGGCAGAGAAATGGAACCCAGAATCCAGGTTGGAGTAGTCATTTTTAAGCAACACTTCCCCCACGGCTATGGAAGGGGCATGTGAATTTTTGATGAACAGCTAGTCATATCTTTCTAAATGTATTGTTTCTTATCTTCATTGTCATCATGGTCACTGCCACTCCATGTGTGAAAGCTTCAGTAACTTCCCCAAGGTCCCTAAGAAGTAGGTAGATGGAGAAGGCAGAGTTTGAGTCCGAGTTGTTTGCTTGTAAATTCCCGGGCTTACCACTGTATTCTACCAGCACTCAGGGGTAGATGCAGGTGGCTTTCTACAAGGTTGAAGCCACTCTGGTCTGTGTAGTGAATTCCCAGTTAGCCAAGGCGATAGAGTGAAACCAAACAAAACAAAAGTAATAATTGGTGTCACATGCCTGTAATCATAGCACTTGAGTGGTGGAGATAGGAGAATCAGAAGTTCAAAGTCACTCTCAGCTGAGATGGCTGAGTTTGAACCCCATGCCTCCCATTTTCTAAAAAAAAAATCTGGACTGGGAGATAGTTCCATCAGCAAAGTACTTTCTGGATAAGTGTGAGGATCTGAGTTCAGATCCCCATCACCTGTGTAAAAAGGTATGGTATTGCCGGCCTATAGTCCCAGTGCTGGGGAGGCAGAGACAGGAGGATCTCTGGAGTCACTGGCCAGACAGTCTAACAGAATTGTCAGCTCCACCTTGTCTCAGAAATAAGATTGGGAATGATACAGGACTTCTGGATTTTACACACATATGCCTACATGTAAGCATGTACATGCACACACATGGGACCTCCACTGACAGATTACACACTCTCCTCTCTGTCTCTGTCTCTGTCTCTGTCTCTGTCTCTGTCTCTCTCTCTCTCTCACACACACACACACACACACACAATCCCACCCCCGAGTTCTGACTCTCCAATTTTCTGCTGAGCCAAGCCAAGCCAATGATTGGCAGCTATGATGGGTCTTGGCATGAAAGGATTTGCTTGGAGATTGTCACCGTGACACATCTGCATGAATCAAGGGGACTGGAGGATGATGGATTTGACATTCTCCCCGAAGAGCTGGTACACAGGCTGAGAGCAAAGGGCTAGGTGTACCAGGGATGCTCACCCTTCCAAGGGCTTTTCCTGGAAACACCAACAAGAAATCTGTGTGGTCTGAAGTGTAGAAAATGATAAACATGAACAGTGCAAAGAAAATGACGAGAAATGAGAGCACGGAGTCAACCAGCTTACCATGGTGTGTGTGTGTGTGTGTGTGTGTGTGTGTGTGTATCTGACTCTGTCTGTTTGTCTTTGCCTTATTTCCTTGCAAACTTTTTTTTAATCCAACAACACATTCCAAACACCATTCCAACTCCATCTAGATGCAGTCTTCAAGGAGATTCCAAATGGAATCTCTCTTCTCTCTCTCTCCTCTTTTTCTCTTCTCTCTCACTTTTCCTCTTTCTTTCTTCTCTCTCTCTCCCTCTCTCCCTCCCTCCCACTCCCTCTCCCTATCCTGCCCCATCCTCTGAGACAGGGTCTTATATGTATAGTTCTGGCTGCCCTGGAACTCACAATGTCACCCAGGCTGGCTTTGAACTGATGGCCCTCCTCTGTCTACTCCCCATTACTGGAATCCTACATATGAGCCATTGTGCATAGCTCTTCTTCAGTGGATAGAACATAATTTATTTGAAAATTTCCCAGTAGTCAACAGTTAGCTTGCTTCAACTTTCTCATGATCCTAGGTGCCCCAATGATGGCTTTGGTCCTAGCAATCAAGTTGAATGGCATATATGAAGCCCTTCCAGTGCGCTGTATGTACTAGATATGATCCAAAAAAGATCACTTTGACCGTGATTGTTTTCTTCTAAGAAAACTCTGCAAATATATATCTATATAACTGCATGTCTAATCTTTATTGTGGCTATCTATAACTGCATCTAATCTGTATGCCCATAGCAAGAGGATTGGTTATCTTTGGGTTTCTAAGTGATGGAAATCCCAGATTGCCCTTCCTTTCGGAATGCTTGTGAGTTTTGTATCTGGAAGCCTTGGAGAGAATGCCCACTTGTTTGGAGATAGTCACAGTCTGAAGATATTAAGGGAAAAATTCCAGAAACAAACAATGCGTAGATTTCCCCTTCTGCACCTACCTGAGCAGTGTAATAAGATCTTGTGCCATTCTGCTCCATCCCTCCCGGGCATGAATCATGCTTCTGCCCGGTATGTCTGGGTTATGTAACCCTCTCCGCCCATCTGTCACTCAGTTGTTCTTACTTATCAGATCAACTGTTGAGATACCTCAGGACTGGCATTCAGCTAACCCTTATTTTTATGTAATAACGGCCCCAAGGGCAAGAATAGGGAGGACAGAAAGAAGATAGATCATGAATGCAGGCCTCAACCCTCACTGCCTGCAGTCTGGGCCTCCTCTAGACTCCACATGTCTCCTGTGGACAGCGGTGGTGGGGTGGGTGATGGGGTGGAGTGGGGGTGGGGTGGGCAAGGGGTGGGAGCTACCACCATACTTACATTTTAGGAATGAGAACTGGATCCTCTGGAGATGTATTCCAAGGCTCCTTCTCCGTCCTCCTACACAGTTAGGACAGGGTGCTGTAGCACTCCAAATCTAGAAGTGACATCATCATGAAATGTCTGCCTCTCTCACAGTAGAGTCTCCCTTGTTACTGTCATGGCTGCTTGCCTGAGCATCAGAGCGCATGTGCACACACGCTCGTGTGTGTGTGTGTGTGTGTGTGTGTGTGTGTGTGTGTGTGTGTGTGTGTGTGTGTGGTACAAGGTGTCATGTAGCTCAGATTGGCCTTAAATCTACTATGTAGCTGAGGCTGGCCTTGAACTTCTGCTGCCTCTGACCGCTGGGATTACAGGCAGGGTTTTCCTAGCACATCCGAACCCTTCTACTCTAAACCTGCTTGCAGGGGCAGGGGGAGGGGGAGTGTCTCTGGAGCACCACAGGGGGGTTAAGATTGACAGGGCTTTGAGCAAATCATAGCGCAGAAGAGTTAAATAGATAATAAATAAATAAGCAATAAAGTGCGGAGCTTGCCTTGAACCCCAGCTCTCAGGAGACAGCTGCAGGAGGATCTCTGTGAGTTCCAGGCCAGCCAGGCATATAGAATGAGACTCTGCCTCAATTAAATAAAGGCAAAGGAGGGAACCTGAGGAAGTCACATGTGTCAACATGGATAAGAAAACTAGAGTATCTTCACACTGCTCAGACAACAACAAAGGTCACTGGAGGTAATATCCAATTTAGTCTTCTGTATATGAAGTTGGAAATGGTAGCCAACAATACATACTATCTGGGGATACAAACCTAGGCACAGCTTCTGAGCTGGGGCCACAGGGAGGGGAGTTCCTGATGATGAGAGGTACCTAAGGGGTTTCAGTTACAGTGTGACATTGCATTTCTTAAGCATTCCTAGACACATTTGAGACTTCCGACTTTAAAGACATGCACTCATGCACCCATGTAGAGTACTATCTTCATTTTGCATTTAAAAATGTCTGTTTGGCATGGAGAAAAGGTGGAAGGTTAGATCTCACAAAGCTATGATTTGTGTTGGGTACAAATGCTCTACTAGGGTTGGGCATGGTGGGTCAAGTCTCTAATCCCAGCACTCTGGAGGTTGAGGCAGGAGGACTGCCCATGAGTTTGAGGACAGCCCAGGCTACATAGTGAGTTCCTGGTCAGCCTGCACTGACCAGGGAGGGGGAGGGGTGTCAAAATCAACAATATCTTAGGGCCAAGTCTAATGTGCCAAATAGCAGCAATGATTGTCTCTGAGAGTGTGAATATGGGTCACTTCTTTGCCTTCTTACCCCTTCGTGTAATTTTGAAGGTTTTATATCATGAACATGTTACATTTTTTTCATGTTTGGGAAACCTCAGCGCTCGTGACTGCAGACCCCAGGGACTTCTCAGGTGAGGGAGATGGGAGGTAGTGGGCTGTTTCCTATGCTGCCACTTACAGGTCAACTCAGCTTCGCAGGGCTCAAGACTTCTAGTCCGGCAAACAGCAGCATTGCATCAGTGCACTTAGTTTATCCGCCTGCCAAGATGTTTCAATCACAGTACGACTTTCTGCTGCCCCCTTGTGGGCTTTGTGGGACTGACCGGCATCACTCCCTGCCTGCCTGGCTCCTTATATGGCAGGGTGGGTGTGGTCCTCCTGCCAGACACAAAGATGGAGCAGTCACACGTAATGAGCTTGTGTAGCATGAGGGTTACAACAAACTCCGTGGGCAGTTCGATCCTGGCACAGGGATGCCAAACAAAGAAATTGCTGAGGAGTTGTGAAAGATAAGCCTGGGGCTCAGGGACCAGCAAGTTCAGGAGAAGCATGAGTAAGTCTTCCAAGCCCACCCGTTGCTCATTTTTCCCATTTAGGCTCGTAGATACAGCGATGAAATTAAGGAATGGTCATCTGCAAATGGAAACTGATGTGTCTTATTTCCCTGGGGAGCAGTTTGCTAGGAAAGTAATAATGGTTATTAAGTTCTTTGCATATAGAAATAATTGAGTATGTGGACTACCAGGGTTATAGAAAAGCTGAGAGGAAGACAGTGGAGCTGGGGGAGAGCGTGAAAGCACTGTTGTGCTGGCGGCTTGTGAGGGGCAGACATGGGAAAGGTCCCGATTGCATCCAGAACATTCCCTTTAGATCCTCTGTGTGTTAAGGGGCTCCAGAAGTCCTGAGGAAGAGGACAAAGTAGGCAAGTGGGACGACGGGCACACGGGGTGGCCAGCATCACCAGCAGCAGAAGCCGCACAGGGGAGAAAGAGGAGGGGCTAGGAAATGGGAAATAGCTCAGATGGTACCGGGCCTGCAGTGTAAACATGGGGACTGGAGGTCTAGCCTCGGCATCCATGGAAAGAGGAGTGTGACTGCGAAGTGTGTAATCCAGGCACGGGGGAGTTGGGAGACAGAAAGATCCCTGAGGATCAAGGGTCAATCAACTTAGCTGATGATGAGGAATGTCCTTCTGTATGCTGTGAATATATGCTTCTCTTATTGGTTGATGAATAAAGCTGTTTTGGCCAATGGACAGGCAGGATTTAGCCAAGTGGGAAATCCAAACAGGGATAGAGAAATGTAGTAGGCAGAGTCAGGGAGGCACCATGTAGCCACCAGGGAGGTAGGACATCCAGGCATTCTCCAGTAAGCCAAGACCATGTGGAAATACACAGGTTAATAGTTATGGGTTAATAATTAATCGAGAGCTAGCCAGTAAGAAGCCTAAGCCATTGGCCAACCAGTTTATAATTAATATAAGCCTCTGTGTGTTTATTTGGGACTAAATGGCTGTGGGACTTGGCAGGACAGACAAGTTCCTCTACAAGTTGAATCTGTGTGATACCCTGTCTCAAAGTAAGGTGGAGAGCAATTGAGGAAGATTCTTGATGTCTTGATGTTGGCTTCTGGCCTCCACACAAAGGAACGAGTATGCACATATACAAACATGTGTATGAAAAATAAGAAGAGAAAAGGAATCACAAATTGTATTGTGTGGATACATACAAACTTGCAAACATCTCCACCAAAATAGAAGCAACAACAACAACAACAACAACACACACACACACACACACACACACACACACACACACACACGGCTTTTTACTGAATGTCATGCTTCACCGTGGACCACTAGAAGATTATATCAGATATCACATGTTACATATTTGCAGCATCAGGAACAAATACAGAAAGTAAAATCCCATATATAACAGTACCATGAACTCTATGGCCTGAGCATCTTTCTTAGAGACTGCCAGACAGCCGCCTGCACAGAATGCCAACCTGTGCTGAGGTCACTGACAGAGTGTGTCCAGGTGGTGGGCAAAGGGGTGCTCCATGTCCTGGCTGATTAGTGATGCCTAATTTGTTCTCTATGCCCATCAGGCAGAGTGAGATGCCATTTACTTAAATCCTAGAGATGCATGGCCCGTGACAGTTGGACATGGCTGAGTTGAATTTGACTCTGCTTAGGGAGACTGCCTTCATGACAGGAGCAAATGAGCAAGATAATCAAGATTGATCCGAGGGTGACAAGGAGAGAGCACAGTGCCAAGAACCCTTAAGGTCTTCAGCGACCAATGCCCATTTCCAGAAGAAAGCAGTAAGTGTACTATGAGTTCACGTTTGTTGATCACAGGTCCCCCACAGAGCTCTGTAAGCTTCATTTGAAGGAAATTATATATTTTGTTACTAGAGCAAAAAAGAAAAAAACCAAACTAATTAAAATTATACTTGAATCCAGTGGTTCTTGTGAAAAATACATTTAAAATAAGAGCAAAGCCATTTTGTTTGTTTGGTTTTTTTGCTTTTGGTTTTTCTTTTTTTGTTTCTTGTTTTTGGTTTTTTGAGACAGGGTTTCTTGGCTGTCCTGGAACTCACTCTTGTAGACCAGGCTGGTCTTGAACTCACAGAGATCCGTCTGCCTCTGCCTCTGCCTCCTGAGTGCTGGGATTAAAGGTGTGTGCCACCAACACCTGGCAAAAGCCATTTTAAAAGGAAAGGACAACCATGTTACAAAGCACAGACCCAGAGAGACTAGGTAACAATGAGGGCCCAAGGGGAGACTAGTGGTCCTCTTGAGGGAGGGGAAACAGAGAGCTCCTGTTTGGAATGGGGGTGGGTGTTACTGGAATTACTTGTCTCACCAGGTCCTGCTGCCCTTCTCAGCCCCAAATAAGCACACAGATGCTACATTAATTATAAAACTGTTGGCCGATAGTTAGGGCTTCTTGTTGGCCAGCTCTGTCTTAAATATTAACCCATTTCTATAAATCTAAGTATTTCCACATGGTCTTACCTTACTGGAGAAGGGTCTGGATTTGTTAATCCTTCCTCGACTACCTGATGTCTTCCCATGGTCTCTCTGCCTACCTTTCCCAGAATTCTCCTGGTCTCCTAGTCCCAGCTATCTTCCTGCCTCTATTGGCCAAACAGTGCTTTATTCATCAACCAGTAAGAGAGACATATATACAGAAGGACATCCCTCATCAGGTGGGTGGGCATGGGAACTTGAGAGTGCCGAGAGAGAGGAGTGGAAAGGGGCCTTTACTGGGTCGGGTAGAAGCCTGATACAAAGGAAACTCCCACGAGTCTACAAGGATGGCCCCAGCTAAGACTCCTGGCAGCAGTGGATGCATAGCCTGAAATGGCCATCCCCTGCGATTGGATTGGTGATTACTCCTGTTGTCACCAGAGAACCTTCATCCAGTGACTGATGGAGACAGATTCAGAGACATTAGGCCAACCTTGGGGAGGTCCTACTGAGGAGAGGGAGGAAGATTGTAGGAGCCAATGAGGTCAGGGACATGGCAAGAAAACCCACAGAAATGGCTAGCCTCCCTCATGGCAACTCACAGAGTCTGAACCAACAACCAGGGAGCCTGCATAGGACCAACCTAGGCCTTCTACATATATGTGACAGTCGTGTAGCTTGGCCTATTTGTGAGACCCCTGGCAATGGAAGCAGGGCTATCCCTGGTGCTTTGGCTGGCTCTTGGGAATGTGTTCCTCCTGATGGACTGCCTGGGCCAGCCTGAATACAGAGGGAGGTGCTTGGTCTTATAGCAACCATGCTTTATCATGCCCATGGGAGCCCTGCCCCTTTCTGAGCGAATACAGAGGAGAGATGGATTGAGGGGGGCACAGGGGTGAGGGAGAGGGAAGAGAAGAGGGAGAAGAGGCTGTGGTGAGGATTAAATAAATCAATTAAAAGAAAAAAAACTCTAGCCAGAATGGCAGCCGTATGAAAACAAGTGACAACATAACAAACGCGGCTGAGAGGTTGGACCAAGGGCATCTCTTCTATTTGCTTTGTGTGGGAGACTCCGTGCGTCACATAAAGGCTACAGAGAATTGCTCGTTCTGCCATATGCTGAGTATAGGAGAGCTGTCCATGTGAGTTGGTCTTGTTTTCCTCTGGCCTCCTTCTTTAAATGTTGCATAGTGTTTGATGACTGTTCCAAAGGAGCGGAGGTGGTGTTCCTGTTGAAGTGGACTGTTGATCCTCTATGCTTACACATCAAGGGCTTCCAATGGACACACTCCTCACATGCAAGTATACCATTTGCTTTAGGGAGGACTAAGAGGTTTATGGGACAGACATACGCCTTCCTCCACAGAGTTCAACTTCGTGTCTATTGCTGTGATAAAGTACCCCAGCAGGGGCTGGAGAGATGGCTCTTCCAGAGGACCCAGGTTCAATTCCCAGCACCCACATGGCAGTTCACAGCCGTCTGTAACTACAGTGCCAGGACTTCTGACACCTCACACAGATATACATGCAGCCAAAACACCAACGGACACAAAACAAAGAGTAACTTAGGGGAGAAAAGATTACAGTCCACCCTAATTTCAGTTGAAGCAGCCAGTCACATCATAGCCACAGCCGCGAGCAGAGGGAAATGAAAGCATGAGTGCTCAGTGCACAGCTACATTTCCCCAGTCTTACACAGTCCAGGGTCCCAAATCAGGTCACAGTGCTGTCCACTTTCAGGCTGAGTCTTTCCACATCAACTAACATAATCAAGGCAATTCCCACAGAGCTGCCAGCAGGCCAACCTCACCTAGACAGTCCCCCATGAGACCGGGACATTCCAGACTGTGTCAAATGGACAGAACTGGCCATCGCAATTCTACTCCTTGTCAACCTGACACACAGTCACATCATTTAAGCCACAGTCCTGTCCCTTGTCCTTGAGGTCTCAAGTTTGTCACATAGTATAAAATATAGCCCAACTTTTAAAAAACCCCCAAGTCTTTGAGAACTCTAACACTTTAAGTCCAAAGTCTCTTAACTATGATCAAGTATTAAAAAAGAAAAAAAAGTTGTGAACTTTCAACACACAATGGCAAAGAGCAGACATTCTTATTCCCAAGAGTGACTGGACCACAGTAAGTGAGCAATCGCACCAAAGCAAAACCAGAGTTCAGCATGGAGAACATCAAATCCTGCAGCTCCATGTCCGGCGCCTGGAGCTTGGAATGGAATCTTCTGGGCTCCAAAGGGCTCTTTTAGCACCACACTTTCAGTTTCATCGTCTGTAGCAGATATTGCTTCTCTCAGGTGTAGGCTGGCTCCATTCCATACTGGCATCAGACATTTATAACGTGTGATGACAGATGCCCACCATATCCTAGGGTCTTCATTGGAACTGAGATGTCACCTTCAGAGTTTCATGGAATGGCCTCTCAGGCCTCTTTGTGGGAACTACAACCATGGCCCATGATGCCTGGCCTCAGCTGTCCAAGCTGGCTAGCTCCCATGGTAGAGGAAGGTACTATGTGTCTCCTGGGGGAGAAAAGACATTGATGGTCTTGCCCAGCTATGAACTACAATACTAACATGCCAGGCAAGAGATGTCCTCTTGTGCAATAATAGCATTGACTGACATGGAAGTAACCAACCACTCTCTGATTGGATTTGTGAATTCCTCACAGGGAGAAATTCATCCCTTATACTGTAAAACCAGTCAAACACCCAAGAATGAGAAGGTCTTAGACTTTAGAGGGAACTTACTACTCCTGTTTTGCTAAATTAGCCTGGTACCAAACTGCTTTCTAAATATTTATGTTTGTACTCCTAGACAAATGCTACTCTCAACCCCATCAGAGAAGCATGTCTTTGCAAGGAATGATATGACTGGAAAGAACCACAGCCGCACGGCGTGCTGAGAATAAGTGACAGTTGATCCCCCAGCCTCAAACAAGGTACTTACACCACCCCCGCTCAGGCTCAGGGAAATCACAGAAGAGGGGGCAGAAAGAATGGAAGAGACATGCAATAGGGAGAAGGGCTGGGCATAAGGCAGCCATTGCAACCACAATTACAGCAACTGCAACCACGGTCATAGTAACTGTGGCTGTTCACACAAGAAAGACTGGGCCTGTCAACAGTCAATCATGATAGGAGAGGGGCTCACAGAGCCCATTCCTATTGGCTGAAGTATTGACTACTGATGGGTTCTCAAGCAGGGGCAGCTATTCTCACTGGTTGTATACTCACTGGTGAATCTACCAGATTCCCATGTATGGTTCAAAACTCGTGGTCTTTGGTGATTTCATATATGTTTATAATGTATTCTGATTACTGTCAACCCTCCCCCTCCAGCCTCTCTTATCTCTCTCCTACCCCTGTCAACCCTTATTTCCTCCCTACACTCAGTGCTCTTTGTGTCCACTTTCATGCAGCCAGGGTTTGTTTGTTTGTTTGTTTGGTTGGTTCCCAGCTGTTGTTCTCATTGACACCATTGATCACTCACTGTGATGTCAAACAGCTTCCGGTGGCTAGAAGGTCCAAACAAGCATAGTGCTGTTGTCATAGCAACAATATTCCAGTGCATCACAGCACAGTGGAAAAAGAGAAGGGAGCTGGCTCCATGCAGAAGAGACCAAGGAGTTGGGGGCGGGGCTCTCTTTGTAAGAACTCATTCTGGAAATACAGAGTTCATTTTTCATTAGGGTAGAGCTCTCAAGAACCCACTTCTGGAAATACAGATTTATCCTTCATCAGGTGGAGCTCTCATGAATCTACTTCTCTTAAAAAGATTTCATTTTCGTTTATTTGTGAGTGTTTATCCATATGTGTGCATGGTGCATGAGTGCAGTACTTGTGGAGGCCAGAAGAGGGAGTTACGGGTTAGGAAATGCCCCATATGGGTGCTGGAAACTGAATGTCTATCTTCTGAAATGGTAGCAAGTACTCTTAACCTCTGAACCAGCTCTCCCCCTTCCTAAAGGTCCCACCACCTCAGCACTGCCATGCTGGACACCACGCTTCTGACGCACGAACCTTTAGAGGGTGAACCATACGCAAACTGCAGCATCATCTCCTGCCTCCCTCACATTCCTTCAGTTCCTCAAAGCCCAGGTGTGGAGCTGGAGACTCAGTTCCCTCTGCCCTGGACCACATCCACTTACCCTTCAACTGAGAAGCTTCTCTTCTGAAATATCCTTTTGTGTTTTTGACAACTTCCTTCCCCCTGCTACCCCCTGCACACTTTCCTAACAGCACTTGTCATACAGTATTGCCATCTCTGCGTCATTGTTTGTAATAAAACCTTCGGATTCTGGGATCCCTGTAGGCAAGGGCCATGTCTCTCTAATTCTGCACCCTGTCCTGTGTAGCAATCGCCTCTGAACTGAAACATTCCTTCCAACCTCTGGACTGAAACATTCCTATCAAAAATGAGGCTCATGAGACTCAAGAAGTAAACAACCTGTAAGTCTCAGGAAGTTCCTGTAGCTAACAAGACCAGCCATTGGAAGCAGATGGAGGAGACTCTCTGGTCTAGTCAGCAGCCTGCAGGCAGTGCAGGGAGCTTTAGAGATGCAGCTTTTGTGAACTGGGACATCCAGGCTGCAGTGGGCCTTGGTGATGCAGCTGCCTTTGAGTCATCCCTGCTTCTGTAAGTAGTTCCTTGTTTATACTCCTAGGGGGGTCACTGCCATAAACGTACTGGTTTACCAAGTTGGCCTTTGTGGAATCATTTAGTATTTAGTAATCAATAGTATTTATTAATGAGATGGTGCCTCACTCTAGCTTAGTCTAGCCCAATATCATTCTGAAGCCCAGGTTGGCCTCAATTTCAAGGCACTCTCCTGCCTTAGCCTCCCCACTGTTGGAATTCTAAGTGTGAGCTCCTACACCTCCCCTGTGTTCCCAGGACACGTATGAAAGATTTCAATTGGACGGAAGGTACTCTCCACCTTAGTTTTAAAAAATACTAACCTATTTTTTTATATGTATGGCTGTTTTGCCTGTGTGTGTGTGTGCGTGTATACACCACGTACATACAATGCTGCAGAGGCCAGAAGAGGGCACCAGAACCTGTAGAACTGGAATTGCAGGTGGCTGTGAGCTGCCCTGTGACTCCGGGGAACTGAGCCCAGGTCCTCTGTAAGAATCACAAGTGCTCTTAACCACTGAGTCATCTCTCCTGCTCCCACCTTACTATAAAAGAATATCTTTTAGTTATTCTTTGACAATTTTGTACATGCAAATAATGCATTTGATCTTATGTACCCCCAACTTATCCCTCCCACTCTCCCAGGAACCTCCATTACATGCCCCTTTCATTCCCTCTATCTTTTTTTAAATAACTGATTAAATTAGTGCTTCCTTTTGGAATGTTGACTGACATTGTTGACTTGCTCTTGTGAGGGTTATCATAGTTGCAGTGAGCTCATGATCTACCATTTTCTTGTGACGGTCTCTCATTGAACTTGGAATTCACTCATTGGCTGAGCTGGCTGGCCAGTAAACTGGAGTTGACTATCTCTGATTTCTCAGTGATGGAATCACAGGGGCTGCTGACATGCTTACCCTTCTTAAAGTGGGTGTTTTAGTTAGGGTTTCTATTGCTGCAACAAATTACCATGACCAAAAAGCAAGTTAGGGAGGAGAGGGTTTATTTGGCTTACACTTGAGCTTTGCTGTTCATCACCGAAGGAAGCCAGGACAGGAGCTCAGATAGGACAGGGTCCCAGAGGCAGGAGCTGATGAAGAGGCCATGGAGGGGAGCTGCTTACTGGCTTGCTTTCCATGGCTTGCTCTGCCTGATTCTTATAGAACCCAGGAAGGACTACCAGCCCAGAGATGGGACCACTCACCATGGGTTGGGCCCTCCCCCACTGATTGCTAAATGAAAAATACAAAGGCACCCACATTTGTTAAAGAAACATTACTAAAACTCAAATCACACATTAAACCCACACACATATAGTGGGAGACTTCAACAACCCACTCTCACCATTGGACAGGACTACCAGACAGAAACTTAACAAAGAAACAAAGGAACTAACAGAAGTTAATGACCCAATTGGGTTTAACAGACATCTATAGAACATTCCATCCAAACACAAAATAATATACCTTCTTCTCAGCACCACATGGAACCTTCTCTAAAATTGACCACATACTCTGCAATAAAGCAAACCTCAACAGATACTAAAAAATTAGAATAACCCCCTGTATCTTATTAGACCACCATGGCTTAAAATTGGAATTCGGCAACAACACAAATTGTATGAACCCTACAAACTCATGGAAACTGAACAATGCTCAACTGCATCACTCCTGAGCAAAGGAAGAAATACAGAAAGCAATCAAAGATTTCCTAGAATTCAATGAAAATGAAGGCACAACATACCCAAACCTTTGGTTTCCTCTTAGTGCTAAGAGGAAAATTCATAGCATTAAGTACCCACATGAAGAAACTGGAGAATAGTCACACTAGAGAATTAACAGAACACCTGAAAGCTCTAGAACAAAAAGAAGCAAACTCACCCAGAAGGAGTAGATGCCAGAACATAATCAAATTGAGAGCTGAAATCAATAAAGTAGAAACAAAGAAAACAATATGAAGAATCAATGAAACAAAGAGTTGGTTCTTTGAAAAAGAATTCAACAAGATAGACAAACCTTTATCCAACCTAACCAAAAGGCAGAGAGAACATGCAAATTCACAAAATCAGAAATGAAAAAGGGGACATAGCAACAGACACTAGGGAAATCCAGAGAATCATCAGGTCATACTTTGAAAACCTGTACTCCACAAAATTGGAAAATTTAAAGGAAGTGGACAATTTTCTAGATAGATATCACTTACCAAAATTAAATCAAGGACTGATAAGCAATTTAAATAGACCTATAGCCCCTAATGAGATATAAGCAGTCATCAAAAGTCCCCCAACCAAGAAAATCCCAGGGCCAGATGGTTTCAGTGCAGAATTCTACCAGAAATTCAAAGAAGAGCTAATACCAATTATTAGCTCCTCAAATTATTCCACACAATAGAAGCAGAAGGATCATTACCAAACTCTTTTTACGAGGTTATAATTACCTTGGTAGCCAAACCACACAAAGACAAAACTAAGATAGAGAAATACAGACCAATCTCCCTCATGAACATTGATACAAAAATACTCAATAAAATAATGGCAAATCTAATCCAAGAACACATCAGAAAAAAACATCCACCATGTTCAAGTAGGCTTTATCCCAGGGATGCAGGGATGGTTCAACATATGAAAATCCATCAATGTAATCCACCATATAGTCTTAAAAAGAAAAACCGCATATCTTGGAGAGATCAGGGATAACAAGAACATATCTAAACATAATAAAGGCAATATACAGTGAATCAACAACCAACATTAAACCAAATGGAGAGAAACTCAACACGATTCCTCTAAAATCAGGAACAAGACAAGGTTGTCCACTCTCTCCATAGCTCTTCAATATTGTACTTGAAGTTCTTGCTAGAGCAATATGACAACAAAAGGGGATCAAGGGAATACAAATTGGAAAAGAAGAAGTCACACTGTCACTATTTGTAGATGATATGATAGTTTACATAAGTGATCCAAGGAATTCTACCAGGAAACTCCTACAGCTGGTAAACACCTTCAGCAAAGTGGCAGGATACAAGATTAACTAAAAAAATCAGTAGCCCTACTATACATAGACAATAAAACAGCCGAGAAAGAAATCAGAGAAACATCATCCTTTACAATAGCCACAAACAACATAAAATATCTTAGGGTAACTCTAACCAAACAGGTGAAAGACCTGTATGACAAGATTTTTGAGTCATTAAAGAAAGAAATTAAAGAAGATATCAGAAAATGGAAAGATCTCCCATACTCTTGGATAGGTAGGATCAACATAGTAAAAATGACAATCTTACCAAAAAAAATCTACAGATTCAATGCAATCCCCATCAAAGTCCCAGAAGAATTCTTCACAGAACTTGAAAGGACAATTCTCAACTTTATATGGAAAAACAAAAAAACCAGAATAGCCAAAACAACCCTGTATAATAAAGGAACTTTAGGAGGCATCACCATCTCTGACTTCAAATTGTATTATAGAGCTATAGTAATGAAAACAGCTTGGTATTGGCACAAAAACAGACTAATAGACCAATGGAATCAAATTGAAGACCCTGATACTAACCCACATACCTATGAACACCTGATCTTTGACAAAGAAGCAAAAACTATACAATGGAAAAGAGAAAGCATCTTCAACAAATGGTGCTGGAATAACTGGATGCAGACAGGTAGAAGATTGCAAATAGATCCATATCTATCACCATGTACAAAACTTAAGTCCAAGTGGATCAAAGACCTCAACATAAATCCAGCCACACTGAACCTCTTAGAAGGGAAATTGGGAAGGACCCTTGAATGAATTGGCACAGGAGACCACTTCCTGAACATAATGCCAGTAGCACAGACACTGAGATCGACAATTAATAAATGGGACCTCATGAAACCGAGAAGCTTCTGTAAGGCAAAAGACACAGTCAACAAAACTAAACAGAAACCCACAGAATGGGAAAAGATCTTCACCAACCTCACATCAGATAGAGGGCTGATCTCCAAAATATACAAAGAACTCAAGAAGCTAGCCACCAAAACAACAAATAATTCAATTAAAAAGCGGAGTACAGAACTAAACAGATTCTCAATAGAGGAGTCTAAAACGGCTGAAAGACACTTAGGGATTGTTCAACATCCTTAGCCATCAGGGAAATGCAAATCAAAACAATTCTGAGATACCATCTTACACCCATTAGAATGGCTAAAATAAAAAACAACAACATCAGTTTATGCTGGAGAGGATGGGGAGAAAGGGGAATGCTTCTCCATTGCTGGTAGGAGTGCAAACTTGTACATCCACTTTGGTAAACAGTATGGTGGTTTCTCCTGAAAATGGGAACCAGCCTACCTCAGATTCAGCAATTCCACTCTTAGGCATATACCCAAAGGATGAATATTCATATAACAAGGACATCTGTTCAACTATGTTCATAGCAGCATTATTTGTAATAGCCAGAACTGGAAGCAACCTAGATGCCCCTCAACTGAAGAGTGGATAGAGAAAATGTGGTATCTTTACACAATGGAGTACTACTCAGCAGGGGGCAGGGGAGAATGATGGAATATTGAAATTTGTAGGCAAATGGATGGAACTAGAAGAAACCATTCTAAGTGAGGTAATCCAGTCACCAAAAGACAAACATGGTATGGTACTCACTCATATATGGATATTAGACATAGAGCAAAGGATTACCAGCCTACAAACCACACCTCCAGAGAAGCAAGGAAACAAGGAGGATGGTAAGAGAGACATACACAGTCCCCCAGTGAAGTGGAAAAGACAAGAGCCCCTGATCAAATTGGGAGCATGGGGGGAGGGGGAGGAGGTAGGAGAAAGAGGAGAGAAGAGGAGGGGGGAGGAGGGCATGAGGGATCAGGAAGATTGAGTGGGGAGAGGAATAGAGGAGAACAAGGAAAAACACATCAATAGAGGGAGTCGTTATAGGTTTAAAGAGAATCTGGCACTAGGGACCTGTACAAGGATCCACAAGGATGACACCAACTAGGAATCTAAGCAACAGTGGAGAGGCTACCTTAAATGCCCTTCCCCTATAATGAGAAGGATGACTACCTTAAATGCCATCCTAGAGCCTTCATCCAGTAGCTGATGGAAGAAGAAGCAGAGATCCACAGCTAAGCACTGAGCCAAACTCCTGGAATCCAGCTTCAGAGGGAGGAGTGACCAACAAAGGGGTCAAGACCACGCTGGGAAAACCCACAGAAACAGCTGACCTGAGAAAGTGGGAACTCATGGACCCCAGTCTGACAACTGGGGAACCAACATAGGACCAAACCAGGCCCCCTGAATGTGGGTGTCAGCTAGGAGCACTGGGCAGTCTATGGCAGTAGAACCAGGATGTATCCCTAGTGCACGGATGGGCTTTGGGAGCCCATTTCCCATGGAGGGATGCTCTCTTAGCTAGATACACAGGGGAGGGCCTAGCCCCTGCCCCAAATGACTTGACAGATTTTGATGATCCCTCATGGAAGGCTTCACCCTCCCTGGGGAGTGGATGGGGGATGGGATGGGGAGTTTGGTGGGGCACAAGGGAGGATGGGAGGGAGAGGGAACTGGGATTGATATGTAAATAAGATTGTTTCTAATTTAAATACAATATATATATAAAGAAAATGCCTTACAGCTGGAACACAAGGAGGCATTTCCTCAGCTGAGGCTCCTTCCTGTGATGACTCCAGCTTGTGTCAAGTTGACACACAAAACCACCCAGTACAGTGGGTTATGGTGATCCGAACTCAGGTTTTCATGCTTGTGGAGCAAGCACTGTACCTACGGAGCCATCTCCCCAGTCATTGTAGACCCGGTTTTTAAAGCGTTTGTGCATGCAGGCCCGCGCGTGTGTGTAACCGAACTCGTATTTGCCCATACTACAAGAGCACCCTTCCACATCACCTGTCTCAATTTACTTCTTTTTCAAATTTTTGCATCTGCTCTCCACTGTTCTGACATCCTCTGTCCATGACATTTCCTGATAGGTCCCACCGGTTCCTCACTGAGCACAACCTACCATTAGGGGGCAGAAGAGGCCCAACCAAGACAGGTGCTTCTCTAGCTCTCCTAGCGTCCTCTCTATGGTGCCTGCCGGCCCAGCCCTCCAGGGGGCGTGGCTACCGCCACGTGACCCGGGTGCCAGGCGACCGCGCCGGCGCAGTGGCCGTGTCGCCGTCGCCGGGGGCTGTCCCCCGTGCGCCGCTCCGCCGGGTAGCCGGCTGAGGCTGCGGCCCCGCACTCTGCGGCTCCGGCTCCTTCCACGGCTGGCCGTGTGCGGCAGCCATGTCCCGAAAGCAGGCGGCGAGGAGTCGGCCGTGCAGCGGCGGCCGCAGAGCCGAGACGGAGCGCAAGCGGGACGAGCGGGCGGCGCGCCGGGCACTGGCCAAGGAACGGCGGAACCGGCTCGAGCCGGGCGGCAGCGGCTGCGAGGAAGAGTTTGTGAGCTTTGCCAACCAGCTGCAGGCCCTGGGGCTGAAACTGCGGGAGGTGCCGGGGGACGGGTGAGGCGGGCCGGGTGTGCGGGTGGTGGCGTTGGGGATGCTCAGGGTCGGTCGCTATGAGGGAAGGAGGGCTCGGGCCTGTTGGAACGCTGCAGCAGGCGACTCGAGGATCCGGGGCCGGTTTGAGAGGTGACCTCGAAGTGCACCTGTCACGAAGCCGAATGGGAAGGGACTTAGGTCCCTCCCGGTGTCATGCTGGGCGTCCTCGCTGCCTTCTGCACTGGGGTAATGAGGACCGAGCGCTGAAGGCATCTTCTTACGCCTTGGGTTCCCTAAGCAAAATTCCCATTGCGTGAGAATCCCTGGGCAGCTCTTTCAGGTAACCCGGTAACACTAGTAGCAACTGGAAAGAGGGGAGCGGTGGAAGGTCAGGGGAAGGGTGGGTCCAGGAGCGTGGGAGGAGAGAAAGAAAGGGTAAAGAGACGGGGAGAGGAAGGGCTAGCAGGTTCGAGGGAGCCTGGTTGCCAGATGTTGTTGCAAGAGAAGCTATTAGTGTTTTCTCTTCCGTGAGTGGTCAGGCTGAGCTTCTGAAAGAGTGGATGTCGCTAAGGCGCGTAAGCCAGGTGTCCTCGCTCTCGTTTGTAATGCTAGCACTGAGGCAATGGGGTTGCTATGAGGTTGAGGTCAACTTAGGCTGTAGGAGTGAGAAGGTTTCAAAAAAGAAAGAAAAGCAAAGAAACCTCGAGAGCCTTAGAAATGGTGGGAGGAGTTCTAAAGAAAGAGATTTCCTTTTTTCTTGTTCTTCCTGCTGCTTCTTTCTCATTATGTAGTCCCAGCTAGCCAGCATGGAGCCCCCTGTGTAGGTCAGGGTTACCCTTAAACTCACAGCCGCCTGCTGGAATTAGAGGTGTGCACTTCCGCTCACCGCAGGCAGTGTTTTCTTCATTTCATACTGTACTGAAGATGATGATGGTGATGATGATGATTTTTGTTTTTCGAGACAGGGTTTCTCTGTCGCTTTGGAGGCTGTCCTGGAACTAGCTAGCTCTTGTAGACCAGGCTGGCCTAGAACTCACAGAGATCAGCCTGCCTCTGCCTCTTGAGTGCTGGAATTAAAGGCCTGGGCTGCCACCACCTGGCCCTGTACTGAAGATCATCCACCAAGACTTAATCAGCGAGCCCCGTGTGTCTCTCCTGCCTTCAGAGCTTCGGCAGATTGGGTTTTGCTGTGTTCACAGAGTTGGGCACACCTTCCTGCCTAGGTGTTTTTGTTTAAGTTGCATTTAAATCTTAATTGCATTCAGCCACCACCTAGAACAGTTCCTGGGTTATAGAAGGCATTCAGGACATTTTTTCCTCCCCTCGAGACAGGGGTTTCTCTGTGTAACCCTGACTGTCCTGACTCTTTCGCTCTGTAGACCAGGCTGTCCTTGAACTTATAGAGATCTGCTTTTCCATGCCTCCCCAGTGCTGAGATTAAAGGTATGCGCCACCACCTCTGGCTCATTTTTTCTTTTTTTCTGAAGAAGAGATAAAAAGTATCACGGGAGGCCGCTACCTGGCTCTAGCTGAGGCACAGACACTGCTGTCGACATCAAAACATCAATCGGAAGCCTGGGGTGGTGGTGCACGCCTTTAATCCCACCACTAGCGATACAGAGGCAGACGGATCTTTCTTGAATTGGAAGCCAGCCTGCTCTACAAATGGAGCTGGGGTTGTGGTCCACCATGCCCAGTGAGTTGGCAGCTTCTTGGGAACTACTGTATTCTTATGAGAGAATGAGAATGAAGAAGAAGGAGGTCTTTGTTTTGAATGTATGACTATAGGGGAAAGCAGTTTGATACATCTGAGAAGAAAGTGGCTAACAATGCCTTGAAGTGTCTAGGAAGACCCTTTCTTATTCCGACAGCAAATAGTCAGTGACTTCCATGTACAAGATTCCTCTCAGAAGATGCCTTGCTTGAGCCATTCAAGAAGGAGCAGCAGGGGTTTGCCAAGAGAACATTCCCGTATGAGTGCCATTAGTTCCACCAGTTGTGGGTGGAATGGGAACAGTTTAGTGGGAGGAGTATTGCTGGGAGGTGAGGGGCAGAGGCTGGCTTACTATGTTCTTTGGCAGTGTTAGGTGGTTCTTGAAACTAACCTGCTGTATACTGGTCTTTGCTTAGGTGACGTTTGAGGATTGGCTGGCTCTGCTGTCATTCATTATTGCAGTGTATGGGAAGTGTCAACAGATTTTTGTTGTTTTGCTTTGTTTTTTAGACAGTTTCTCTGGGTAACCCTGGTTGTCCTGGAACTCTTGTGTGGACCAGGCTGGACTCAAATTCAGAGATCCAACTGCTTCTGTCTCCCAGAATTAAAGGCATGGGCTACCACCGCCACCTAGCTAACAGATTTTTTTAAATGCATTAATATTTGTTGTGTAGTATTAGGCTAAAATATAGTAATGATGAGTTTCCACTGTTTCTGTTCTGACCTGATTACCGTTTGAATGGCCTAAGATGGTGACTTGCTATAGGCGTGTGCCTTATAGCATTCTGTAATTGGTTGTTTTTCTTAACTCAAATGTAGGACCTTACACGTCTGTGTATCCCTAAAGCGCAATGGTTCTCAAGCAGGGATGGTTTTGCCTCCCAGGGGACAATTGGGACTGTCTAGAGACATTGTTGGTTGTCACAGCTGGTGAGGAGGGAGGTGGTGTGGTCCTGGCATCTGGTGGGCAGAGGCTAAGTGTTCCGGAGGACTGGCAGTAAGCTCACATTCCTTGCAGCGCAGAGTGACCCCAGGGCAGCCCCTGCAGTGGTGAGAATGTGAACTCAGCAAACAGCTGGGTCTCCTGGTGGCTCTAAGCGCCATGGTTTTGTTCTCACTGGCATCTGCAATGTGGCTATAGGGCTTCCTAAGGGAACCCAGGTCACTATAGTGTCTGTTATGTTTTCTGTGTCGCTGCTGCTGCCTTGTAACCCATTGGAGAAACAAGAAATTGCAGTGTGTTCTGACTTGTTAGTGGGCTCAAAGTAGCAGATGGAAAATTTACTACTTGCACATGGGATAACTACAGCTAATATTTTGGTAAATGTTTGGGAGAGTCATGACTAGAGCCAGGTTGCCCAGGTTTGCATCTTGGGCCCAACACTTTACCACTAACCATCTTGCTAGCCTCGATTCTAGCATTTTAATTTTGGAAATGAAACATGATGCTTAACAGTGGCATTGTTGTTCCCCGGGACAAGCGGAGCAGGCAGGGCCCTGTCTTTCCCTGTCTTAGCAGTGGCATTGTTGTTCCCCGGGACAAGAGTTGCAGGCAGGGTCCTGTCTTTCCCTGGTGTAACCATTTGTGTCCAGGCACCTCCTCCTTGGTTTTCACCACTGCTGACGTGGTTGCAGACTTCAGTTTGTTTTTGTTTTTGTTTGGGTTTTCGAGACAATGTTTCTCTGTGGCTTTGGAAGTTGTCCTGGAACTCATTCTGTATACCAGACTGGCCTTGAACTCACAGAGATTCACCTGCCTCTGCCTCCTGAGTGCTGGGATTAAAGGCGTGGGCCACCAACGCCCAGCTCAGACTTCAGTTTGTTTTATCAGCTTGACAAGCTGATGTCTCTTGAGTACTGAATGACAGATGTCTTAGCTGGGTGGTTTTTGTAAAACTTGGTTTGGAAAGGTATCAATAGGTGTGATGTCATTTTGGAAGGGGTTTGGGAGTTTTAGACCTTAGGCCTGGAGTAGTTTGTGATGTCTACATCCTATATCGAGGAGCTGACCAGCTCCGCCACTGAACCAACTGAGGCCCCGAGTAACTTAATATTTGGTTTAAGTTTTTGCCAGCTGGTAAGCAGGACGGGAATCCTTATTTGCTGCCGGTTTTGAAAGGCATTGAGCAGCACCTCTGTTTTGACAGCAATTGCCTGTTCAGAGCCCTGGGTGACCAACTGGAGGGTCATTCCCGGAACCACCTCAAGCACCGGCAAGAGACAGTCGACTACATGATACGGCAGCGGGAAGACTTCGAGCCCTTTGTGGAGGACGATGTTCCTTTTGAGAAGCACGGTAAGTTCACTGTGGGGCCCTGGGCCCTTCTGGAGCCATGCTGGGCCAGCAGCCCACCAGCACCCCACCCCCTGACTCGATCCTCACCCACCCCTACCCCCAAAGAAAAGAACAAGATAAAGGAGGTGGTGGTAATTGACCAGGGACTGTGTTTGTGACCTTCTGCCAGTGGGGTGGGGAAATTAGCTGTAAGGGTGTACACAGATGGAGTCTAATTTTTAAACTGTCTGTGCATGGAGGCAGTAGAGGTCTGGGAAGACGCTAGCATCGTATGGTGGTTCTTTCTTGTCCTTTACATTTTTATAAAAAGGAGATGATAAAGCACCTATCTGGAAGGATTTTTTTTGGTGAAGTATTAATTTAGATAACAAAATTAAATTCTTAAATAAGTTAACTGTCTGGGGATGATGGGACTGTGGATAGTTTTAATTGTCTTCTGTAGTTTTTTTAATTTTTAAATAATCATGTATTATAACTAGAAAAAAGAAATCAGCAAGCCTATGTTAACGCCTCACCAAAAACCTAAACACACTCACCCTATCCTTTTTGAAATGGTATCTTTAAAACATAAATGTGTTAGTACCTTAGTTTTGGGTGTGTATATAGCCTGATCTTTGATCCTCCCAAGTGTTACATATGCCACCACACCCAGTTTATGTGGTCCAGCGATGAAACTCATGGCATCTTGTATGCTGATCAAGCGTTCTCCCCGCTGAGCTGCAGCCCCACCCACAAACAGCATCTCCATCCCAAGGCGGACATCTGTGTCTTACCAGGATGAGGCAGCTGGGTCTGTTTTGGTGACAGTGTGGGGCCACATTGAGAATGGAGGGGAGGGAGCACCGTTGGGAGGGAAGGTCGGTGAGGAGGCTCCTTATTAGCAGTTCTGAGAGGGGTGAGCCAGTCCCGGAGCAGCTGGTGGAGTAGTCTACTCAGTCGAGGAGACCAGGGCGGGGCTGAAGGTCCTGCTTTAGAATAGCTCCAAGCACGGAGGTCAGAGGGACGGGTATGTCTGAGGACACTGTCACTGACCTCACTGGGAATGAGCACATGTAGCCTTGGGGCATCGTCTGTACCTGTTACAGAGCTCTGGTGGTCCTCTTCTTGGAGTCACTTTTTAAGCAGACAGGCAGTTTCAGAGTTAGCATTTTACAGGTGTGTGTGTGTGTAGCTTTGTGCTGTTTAAAATGAGTCATGTTGCTGAGTGTGCTAGTGCATACTTGTTCTGGCACTCAGGAGGCTGAGGAAGTAGGATCAGGAGACTGAGACTAGCCTATGTAGATAATCTTGCCATTTTTCAGGGTTACTTTGGATGAAGTTTGTGGTCTGAATTCCACTGAACATCTTTAGGAAGGTCCTGTAGTAGACTTGGAGTGTATGTAACAGGACAGGAGCTCAAAGCTTCAGTTCCAGAGTGATGTCACTTTAGTTGTGCAGTGGAAAGGTGTTTTCTTGAAATGTCACTGCATGGCCGAGTGTTGCTGCATAAAAGTGTGAGCATCAAAGAGGCGACATGTCGCTTTGACTGCCAGAGCAGAAGTGAACAGCCGCAGGGAGGGAGCCTGCATATCCTTGGACCCACTGTCTTGATCTCTTAACCAGTGACCAGTTTTAACCGTCTGTCTACCCTAGGACTCTGTAAGTTTCTCAGGGACAAGGCATTGTACCTTTGTTCCAGATCCAGCCATACCTGACATTTGGGCCTATTCATATAGGATTTGCTGATTTAATAAATGAATGTCTCACTTAACTGGTGAGGGCCCAGTGACCTTTGCCCTTGGCTCTGCCTTCAGAATGATTCTAGTCTTCTAGCCTGTGGTCCTGTAGAATTAACACCACCTTTCCCCATCTGTACCAAATCTGGATCAGAACTTGAGCTGTTGGTAATGTCTCATCTCCCTGTCCTCTCTTACTGGTCCATTGTCTCTTGGCCCTTTTCCTCAGCAGTTTCCTCTTCCTCTTACCACCGATGTGGTCTAACCTCAGTTGAGGGATTGCCTAGATCACATTGGCCGGTACACATGTGTGTTGGGGATTGTCTTGATTGCTAATTGATGTAGGAGGGCCATCCCACTGTGGACAGCACCATGCCTAGGCTGGTCCTGAACTGCAAGAGAACTAGCTAAGCATAGGCTTGTGAATGGGAGCCAAGCCAGCAAGCAGCTTTTTTTGCTGAGCCTGCCTCCAGGTTGCTTCAGTTGCAGACTGACCTGGAAGTGTAAGATGAAATAAGCACTCTCCAAGTTGCTTTTGGCCCTGGTGTTTGTCACAGCGACAGAGTAAAACTAGAACATCACGTCTGAACTCAAGAATAAAACTAGAACATCACGTCTGAACTCAGGTGTGGTAGCCATTTCACCAGAAGCCTCAGTGCAGTGTGGACTGGCTGTATGGTCCCTTGATCTCTTCAGTCTGTTCTAAGTCATAGAGTTGTGACCCAAGTTTGTTTTCCTCCAAAATCTGTTGCTGGTTCCCACTGACCTGAGGGCTCAGTCTGCCATTTATAGCCCTTCATGCTCTGTGATTTTTAATTTCTCTCCTCTCTGTTTCTCACCTTATTTTCTTCCTCTGCCTCTGCAGTCCTAGCTCCTGTGGTACAGGCTAGTCCGTAGTCTCTCTTGTTGTTTGGAATGTAATCCATCGCTCTTTAACTCCTGCTTGGCCTTGTAGCTTCAGTTGAGCAGTATCAGCTAACAGCTTATCTGATACACCTTATTCTCCACCCTTCCCCGTACATACACCCACACACCTTTATGATCTGCCATGAAGCCAGGATATGAGCACAGCTGTGCAGGATTCCCTCATCTTTGACACTCCCTGCAAATTTCAGGTTCCCCACATTCACAGGAGCTATTCTGACAGGGGTGGTTCTGCAGGGAAAGGGAACCACCAAAGTTAGCCAGAGGGGAAGACTCGGTCCAGCACAGTCCAGTCTCAGAAGGTTCCAAGCACAGTGCTTCTTTGTCTTCGGGGAGTTTTATGCGCTTGGCATGTCTATGATAGTACACATAGTGCTGTCAACAGGGAGCTTGCTGCAGCTTCAGAGTCCAGAGTTTGCTTTGGGTTGTTTTTTTCTTTTGGCTATTTATTTTGTTTCTTTTGTGGTAGCATGTAGCTGCTGTATAGCCTGTTGGCAGCTGTGGTCTAAGGCCCATCATAAAAGAGAGAGACTTGCCCTTCTCCTTTGGAAATTCCAAAGGATTGGCAATTACTTTGCAGGAGCCTGGAGTAAAGGCCAGATCAGCCCTTTCCTGAAGCACCCGATTAGCTACATTATCTATATTATTCTGGTTGTAGTCTTCTCCAGAGCAGAGTGCCAGAGTGGCCACAAGCCAGGACTGTGGAGTCAGCTGCTGGGGGAAAGCTCAGCTCACCAAGTTCAGACTGTGTGTTCTTGGGCCCTCGTTAGCTGTCCTCACCTCCGCTTGTTCCTCTGTCTAGTGGCGAGTGTGGTAATCCTTCCAAGCACTGCTCTGGTGATTAGAAGTGATGATTTCTGAGCAATTATCAGCACTGCTTGACACATGCATGCATCCATTAGTGCGAGCTGCTGCCGTTTCTCTGTTGTACACTCCATGTCTGTCATGCAGCTGCGTAGATTGGAAGCACGCAGCATTTACTGAAGGAATTAATCCTCCTCTGATGACTGGAACCCCAGCACAGTCTGCATGTTGTTCACTTCTAAGTCCCTAGACTGACAGCTGGTGGCCTTTGCAGATGTGTGGTCGCGCTTATTTCTCACAGCTTGCAGCTACATAAAACACCAACCATGTTTGCATTTGCTCTTTCCATCATAAAGACTTCATTTTTCTTTCCTGTTTCCATGCAGTGGCCAGTTTGTCAAAGCCTGGTACTTTTGCTGGCAATGATGCAATTGTAGCCTTTGCAAGAAACCATCAGTTGAATGTGGTGATCCATCAGCTTAATGCCCCTTTGTGGCAGGTAGGTCACCTGTTTAGGAATGTCCTTAAGATGATGGGGCTTGACCTGTGATGCTGAATTCCTAAGAATAGTTTGGACCATGAGCTAACCAAAGACAGGAATCTTGTGATTTGGAACTAACCCCTGTGCTGGGTTCAAATGGAGTCTGGATTGTGAGTGAGAAGTATTTTATGATCCTGGGATATTACTCAACAGTCAGCTAAGTAGGTGCTTTGGGGACAGAAACTAATGTGGAAATGCCCAGATAATCTTATTAAACTATCTTAGTATATTAATGTTTAGAATACACAAATTGTAGTTTTGAAGTATGCCCATTCCCCTGAAGTTTGTATGTGTGTGTTTTTAGGAGTAGAGAAGTGTCATAAAATCCTTTATAATGACTATGTTTACCATAATGACTAAAAAGTGTTTTTTGAACAGTAGAGTGCTGTTTTTATTCAGCTTTATTTCTGCATTTTGCTTTTTTCTACAATAAAAATTTTATAGCAAATGTTTGCTCCAGACTGACACAGTTGTGAAGCCAGACAGTCCTACCCTGTGAAGTATCTGCCCATTCAACTCCTTCTCTTTCTCTGTCTCCTGCATTAACCTCACCTGTCAGTCCATCAAACCAAGCGTCCTAGAGCACGGTGATCAAAGGCTGCCAACTGCGTGCAGGCCCCGCTTCCTAATTTGTCCTCTCAGAATTCAGAGGGCTTTGCGTGACTCTTTGGCTCAGCTCCAGACACTGGACATGCACTTTCACTGACCCTCTGTGTCACCATTTTGAACTTTTTTTGCTTAGAAGTTAAAATGTTTTAATTGAAGAAAATCTGGGAAATTGAGCAAAGCCCCCAGAGGTGGGTGAGAGCCACTGGAGTCACACTGACTAGAATTAGGACTGTTAGCATTGTGTGTGTCCTGCCATTCACCCACACACACTGGAGTCATACTGACTGGAATTAGGACTGTTAGCAACATGTGTGTCCTGCCATTCACCCATACACACTGGAGTCACACTGATGGGAATTAGGACTGTTAGCATTGTGTGTGCCCTGCCATTCACCCACACTTGGGCATATGATTGGGGGTACATATCACATGTTTTTACAATACATTTTAAACACATGTACATGAATTTACACACAGAGACACACAGACACACACAGACACACGCGTACACACACACACACACACAGACACACACGCCTACCTCTGCATGCGTTACTTATCTTAAAGGTAATGGCATCTTTTCTTCAAGTGCTGTCTGCATGCACCCCTTTGTAATCCCCTGAGTCGTGGCCTGCAAGCTTTTCTTTTAAAAAGAAATTACACATGCCAGAAATTCACTCTTTCTGGTTTGTAGTTCTATGTTTTGATGTAACGCCACCATCAACATATGGAATAGCTCCACTCTACCAAGAAGTTAGTGCCTGCCCTGGGCCATCACTACTCACTCATCTCTTTCCCAACCTCTGGCAGCTACTGTTGGATTTTTTCTTTTTAGTTGTGCTTTTCGATCACATAAATGGAAGTCTTCAGCCTTTTGTGTTTGTTACAGTGTCCTTTTAACAGAGTTATACAGGACAAAGTGACGTAGATGGTGGCAGGGCTGGGGGCAGCATCGGCCTCAAGGATGCATGAGCAGGAAGGGGACAGGACCCATCTCCTTGCCCAGTGTAGCTAGCTGGCCAGATGGCAGGGAGAGGACCCTGTGTTGAGTGGGTGCTCTTAAGAGTGATGTGTTGGCCAAGAACATGGTTACCCCTCTAGGTCCGGGCGTTTGTTAATAGTGTATGCCTAATAATTAATACAAGAGCTCAGAACAATGGCTATACTCCCAGGCAGGGCAGATCCAATGGGATAAATCTGTTTTAAGTATATACTTCCACTGTTTTGCAAGTCATAAACCAGGACGCTACAGAAGTAGATTTGAAAATGTCAAGAATTGGGGCAATTAAGAAATGTAACAGGTATCTTTAGGAAAAGCAGTGATGGCTACCTCGCTGACATGGGTTTCTCATTCTAGATCAGGTTCCTCACACCGTATACTCAAGTATCCTGACAATTCAGTGGAATTGTATTAATGATGAATTGGCTCAGACTCAGCATGGATACTGAAACCTACATTGTCTCCTGCATTGACGTGCAAGCCTGTGAGCAGTTTCCATGCATTATGTAGCCAGTGACAGGCCTGTTAGGTGTGAGCCTAACAATTTTGGTGACTGTCCTAGTTGGTTTTCTATTCATAATATCCATATGTTGTCACTCAATGCTGTAGGAACTTTGTCATGTGAAGACAAAGTAAAACATTTCCTCTCTGGTACCCTCTCTGGGAGACAGTGGTGCTGCTACTGTGCCACATGTCCGTCTAGACTTAGACATTCTATTACAGAATAGAAGGTTTTGCACTTCCTACATGGGATCTGTGTGATTCCTGCTTGTCCCATGGCTGCTGTTTATGTAGGGTTTTTGTTGTTTCTTTGTTTTTTCTTGTTTTTTGGGGGGATTGTTTTTGTTGTTGTTGTTTTGGGGTTTTTTGTTTGTTTTGTTTTGTTTTTCATTTTTCTGTGTAGTCCTGGAATTCACTTTGTAGACCAGACTGACCTCAAACTCAAGAGATCCGCTTGCCTCTGCCTCCTGAGTGTTGGGATTAAAGGTGTGCACTACCACAACCTGGCTGACTTGCTGTTTTTGAATCTTGAATATTTGTTTAAGTTAATGGTTGTCTCAGATTACTTGAGACTTTTAGTGAAAATAAAGAGGGCTGATGTTTTAGAATTTTACGGGAAGAACAGTTACCTAGGGGTAAAATCAGAATTATTTTAGTTTCTGTTGCGTGGGTGATTTGGAGGGAATCTATCTAGCCCAACACTTAAAGTTTTGTCTGTTTTTTTTTTTTTGCCTGATTATAGGAAGTCTATTCTTGTTGTATCCCAAGGCATGTTGGGATGTAACATCCTGTGGCCAGTGCCCAGGCCTGCAAGGTGTGAGCAGGACACTGGACAGTGCCCGGGGATGAGCAGTGTGCTCAGGGCAGTGTGGTCAGTGCCCAGGGCTGAGTGGTGTGCACAGGGCAGTGTGGTCAGTGCCAGGGCTGCAGGGTGTATGCAGGACAGCATGGACGGTTCCCAGGGTTGCTCAGTGTGTGCAGGACAGTGTGGACAGTATCCAGGGCTGCAAGGTGTGCAGGGCTGTGTGGACAGTGCCCAGGGCTGCAAGGTGTGCAGGGCTGTGTGTTGTGCTAGTGCAGTTTTACTCTATGGAATTTTGTCTTAAAACTGCTGCAAGTGTTAGGTTTTGAGATTGTTGCTGCCTCTAAGTTTCATGTGTGATTGGAAAGGGGAGGTGAATTTATTATAGCTAACAAGCTAGGTCTGTATGGTTCCATTTTAAGGTCTTCAAGAGGATCTAGAAACTTTATACTTGGCATTTTACTTCTTTTTCCAATGATAATCCTCCCTCTGTTTGAGCTTCTGGCTCAACAAATCTGGGCTACTCAGGGTTTTCCCATTGGAAGGCGCCTGTGCACTCGAGAGGCCAGGTGTTTAGTTTTATCTGACTTCATTGCAGGCATGCCTCTGGCTTGTTAGTCATTCCACATGGATTCACTTGCATATTGGCAAATGTTGCATAGGCACATGGAAGCCTGCAAGCCTGCACGGGAGAGAGCCCAGAGCCCAGTGGCATGTTCTAGCCAGAGTCCCAGTCTGTCTGTTTAGGGCCTACTGGCCTGGCTTCTTGGCCAGGGCCCAGAGTCCCCACAGGCCCACACCTTCTAGCTCCTCTCTGTGTCTGCAGATTCGAGGTACGGACAAAAGCAGTGTGAGGGAGCTACACATCGCCTACCGGTATGGTGAGCACTATGACAGCGTTCGGAGGATCAATGACAACTCGGAAGCGCCAGCCCATCTCCAGACCGACGTGAGTGAAGCCCTAGTCCCTTCTGCTTTCAGACCTGTAGGAAGCAGCTCCAGGACACCAGGGACCAGCTGCTGTTGCTGTTAATGAAAAGTCCCTGTGGGGAGCACTGGCTGCCTAGCCTGACGACTTGGGTTCCCTCCTAGGAACCCACATGGTGGAGGAAAAGAACCAGTTCTCACAAAATGTCTTCAGACACATACACGAGGTCATGGCCTGGGTGTGCATGCACACATAAATGAATGAACTAAATGTCTTTTGTATTTCTTTTTAGTAAGGGGAGAGACAATTGCTTGTTGTCCCTTTACCTTCTTCCAGTAGGCACCTATGTTTAGATGTATACACAGTCTGAATTTTTAAAATTAATTTTGTTTAAAAATCAGTCCATAGCCATTATCTGAGAACTGAAAACTACACAACGGGTTAGAAAAAAAAGTAAAAAGCACATAGTAGTAGCTGCATGAATGCAGATTTTGTTGTTCCTTCTCAGTGGATTTCATGTTAGTTATTTAGTGCTTCAAGGATGGATGAGATTGTTATCTATATAGCTTTGTTTTCTGCTCCCCTTTTGTCTGTGTGAGTGTGTGTTTATGTGCACATGCGTATATGATGTGCATACCTGTATGCGCACACAGAAGCCAGAGGAGAGCATCACTGTCCTATCAACTCCGCCGTATCCTTTGAGACAGATTCTCGCTTTGATTCTGAAACTTGCTTGGGTTTTTGTTTGTTTTTGGCTAGGCTACAGCCGGCATGATGCAGTGATCCTCTTGTCTCCAAGCTCCACAGCACTGAGTTGCAGGTGTGCCCCAGCTATGCTTAGCTTCTTATTGCTAGGATCCAGAGTCAGGTCCTCTTGTTACACTTCCTTCAGCCCAAGTGAGTGCTCTTTTTTTTTTTTTTTTTAAACGAGACAGGGTTTCTCTGTATTGTTTTGGAGTCTGTTAGTCCAGCCCAGCCTCGAACTCACAGAGATCCGCCTGCCTCTGCCTCCCGAGTGCTGGGATTAAAGGCGTGTGCCACCACCGCCGCCTGCTCATTTTTTTTTTTTTGTTTATGCCTGATGGTGTTTATATTTAATGTGTCCTGGAGTTTAATTCCTGGCAGTACACAGAAAGAAGCCTTCCTGGATCTGTTTTGAAGGCTGCCTAATATTCTGCTGTGTGGGTCCATTGTAACCTGTTAGCCAGTCTCTTAACACCCTCTTAGATGCCAGAGATCCTATAGAATTCTCGGTCTTAAAGACTGAGTGAGATAAAGCCATCTACCATGAGTGAATCACATGTAGCATCTGTAGTTGGAACACCCCAGGCTTCCTTGACCATGTCCTCTGTTGGCTCTAAAACCAACAGAAAGTCTCATACCAACAAAGCAGCACTTCTCTGTCGCACCTGGTTGTGGACATTTTTGTGAATGGAATCATGTATTTAACCTTTGCTGTCTGACCTTTTTCACTTAGCATAGTGTTTTAGAGAGTCAGCCATGTTGTAGTGTGTATAAGTACTGTTTAATGGTATTCCAGTATGTGACTCTATTGCTGTGATAAAACACCATGACCAAGGCAACTTCATTTAGAGTTCATGGTGTCTGACCACAGGGTTAGAGTCCACAGCGACCAACAAAGCAAAGGCATGGCAGCAGAAGGGCTGAGAGAGAGAGAGAGAGGGAGAGGGAGAGGGAGAGGGAGAGGGAGAGGGAGGGAGGGAGGGAGGGAGGGAGGGAGGGAGGGAGAGAGGGAGAGAGGGAGGAGAGAGAGAGAGAGGTTTCTATGCCTTTTTTGTTTTTAAGAAATTGGGATGTCATTTTGCTTTTCAGTTTTAAAAGCTCTTTATAGATTCTGGCTACTAGATTTTTACCAAATACACAATTTGTCAGGATTTTTTTTTACTGGTGTTGCTGCTGTCGCTATGGATTTTCCTGATATTTTGTTGGTTGTTTTTCAGGTTCAGCATTATCTTGTCTAGTGATTTCTTTTTCCCTAAGTTTATACTTCTGATTGTTTTATCTGAGTCTTCGGTTACCTCTGAAATAATTCAGTAGTGGTGATGGCAGTGAAAGCCCTCACTGAGCTCACCACTGTCCCTGGAGTGAAGATGTCATCTGAGGGCATGCAGGGGTTGTTCACTGTCATGCTGTGAAACCTCTAGCTTTTTTCTAGTTGGTCACCACCATAGATAACTTTCCTATTAGCCTAGACCTCACACATTTCTTGGCTGACTTCCTGGACTGTGGAGGTGTGAAAGGTTGCTCATTGCCGGCTGCTAAGGTCTCTTAATAGGTAGCTTTGTGTTGAGGCTCTCGCAGATACACTGCTCATGGCTGAACCCTGCTGTTCAGAAACGTCTGTGCTCAATGCATGGCTCCCTCCGCTCTCCGGAGGCAGAAGGAGATGGTGGCTGTGTAGTCAAAGGGGGTGGGAGGTGGGTTGGTTTTCTGACTTGGGTTTTGTCATAGAGGCCTCTTGGGCCCCAAGTGTTACTTAAGCGTTTGGGTTGGCTGAAGTGTGGTGTGCTCCACAGGTGTGTTGAGTCAGCAATGCCATGCGCCCCAGAGCTTGCTGATAATCACAGAGTTTGGTGACCGGATGAGAGCTGGATACTTGTGTTTCAAGCTAGCTCTATAAGTTCAGTAGCTCAGCAGGTGTGAATGTGGGGACCATCTTCTGTATTCAGCAAGCAGAGGCAAATATGTGCCAACAGACTTGGACATCATTGCCCAAGCACTGTGTCCAAATACCGTGTGTGCCTTGCTGCTGTCCTTTCTGCTTGGTTCCTCTCAGCTCTGTACTCGGGGCTGTCCCAGATTCTCAATGTGGGTGAATCTAGCCACTGCTGTTCTCGTCAGGTTGTTTCTAGAATTCTTCTGCCTGTGTTTGGATGGTTTGTGGTTCAGATGTCTTTCTGTGTTAGAGAGCTGAGGGGAGTTTGCTGGAGCCCATAATTCCTATGCTGTTTCTTTTAGTTCCAGATGCTTCATCAAGATGGACCAAATAAAAAGGAAAAGACCAAGACAAAAGGGGTGGACTTGGAAGACGGCCCGAGAGATGAAGTTGAAGATGCTGTCCAGAAAGTTGGCAATGCAACTGGATGCTCAGTTAGTGCCCCTCCCCCCATGCTTCACAGCTGGCTGCTCAGTTAGTGCCCCCCATGCTGCACAGCTGGATGCTCAGTTAGTGCCCCTCCCCCCATGCTACATAGCAGGTACTGCGGTGCCAGAGCTGGCCTGCCAGAGACCATGAGAGTGGGGACACTTAATTCATTTCCCTTGTTCACTGTGTTTCACCCATCAATGCTCAAAATCCTAAGGAGTGAGTTTAATCTTTTTTTTTGAGAGAGAGATTTGTCCTAGTAAAGGTGTAGCTTTATAAAGAAAGTTTGTTTATAAATGCATTGGAATGGCTACTGCGTGTGATGGCCTTGTTTGAAATATTGATGTTTCTTGGTGGACGAGGTCTTGGATCCTTGTCAGTTCCTCTGTTCGTGCTTGTGTATATCAGGCTGATGAAACAGAGCCAGGAGCATGGCACACCCAGAGTCTAAGTGTCTCTCTGCTTCTTCAATAGGATTTTAGCTTAATAGTCCAGAACCTGGAAGCTGAAAATTACAATATTGAATCTGCAATAATCGCCATGCTTCAGATGGACCAGGGGAAAGGAAATAGTAAGTCCACACTAAGACCCTGATGAGCTTTGAGTGTTACATGTCACTCTCAGCTTGGTGTCCACACTGTCCATCTGTCCCCCTTGAGCTCTGTGAGCATTTGTCAGTCATGACGAGTAACACTGCCTCATGTCTGGGCTGCGCAGTGTGGTGGGATGCGCATGTGCAGGATGAGATTGGGCCTGCATTTTAAGTGAGTTCTGATTAGTTTAAATCTTGGCAGCCATGTGTGGCTCTGGCCACTGTATTGGGCAATGTAAGTTAGGTCATGTTTTGTTTTAGATTTGGAATGTAAATGAATGCTTTATCCCCAAAAATTCTTCTTAAAAGTCTTATTGCAGCCTTCCTGACTGTTGACGGGGGGAGTAGAATTCCATCTCAAGGAACCTGACTTTGTAAAGAACAGGGATTTGGGCACTCTGGTGATCTTGTAGTCATGTAGTTGTTTTAAGTAACTGTTGGGTTCTTGGTTTTAACAAAATGCCTCTCTTTGGAAGATGTGAAGGAGAACCTTGAGCCTAGTGACCGAGTGTCGAAGCAATGTGACCCTTCATCTGAGGAGGCAGGCAGTGGCAGCGGCTCCACACTCTTTGGAAGTCAGGGTGGAAATGAAGGCCAGACGGAGAGCAGTAAGGCTCGGGCCAGACCTAGTGAAGGAAGCAAAGCAAATAAAAACCAGATCCCAAAGGTATGGTGTGGTTGGGAGGCAAGGGCACTGGGAATTCTGTAGCGGCGGGGTGGGGAGTTGCCTTTCACCCGAGTGCATTTTTCTTGATGTATAAAAGTAGTTCTTGTAGAGCATCTGGGGGCGGGCACACAGATGTATGCACAATATAGACTTTACTTGTCCCACAGTCACAAAAGCCTATAGTCCTCTGTACAGATGCATAGCTACCTCCTCCCATCTGATGTGACTGTCAGGGGCACGGGTGTCTTTGCATCATCTGGAGTAAGCACCTTTGTGTGTAAATCTTTGTGCTTTGCATTGTTTTCTTGCATAGTGTCCCAGGTGGAATGGAGGGCATGTCTCAAGATCTGCTTCAGGCTCTTGCTAACCTGTCAGGTGTACGCCTTCAGCCCTGCCCCGATTCCCACAAATGGACGGGATGTCATTAGTTTATCCAGTTTCAAACTGATCTTAAAGGCAGATGTTTTGAGCTAGACTACTACCTACCTAATGTGCAGAAAAGGAGGCCACAACCTGGGAACTTTATTGCCGTTATTTGGACTCTTAAATGATGGAGAAGGTGTCTCCAGGCCCCTGCGTGGGATTGTCATCAACGGCTAGACTTGGGGCACTGTCTTTGTGGGTATTTGGGTTGTTTTGTGATTAGTTTTACTTGATGCTTCAGGAAGGAAACATAAATTCCAAGTGTATTTGAACAGTGGTGGAGGTGACATCCTTGACATCTCTTGGGCTGTTTCCTCCGTCCTTGCTGAAAGCATCCTGGGCCTGTGCTTCAGTCAGCCACGCGCCTTGCCTTGCAGCACAGTGACCCATGTAGCTACCGTCTCTTCCAGGTGACAAACAAGCAGCGGAGGGAGCAACAGCGACTGGAGAAGAAGAAACGGCAGGAGGACAGGCACCGCCACAAAGCCCTGGAGAGCAGGAACAGCCACAGGGACGCCAGCAGAAGCGAAACAGATGTGAACACGCAGGTTACCTTGGTGAAGACCTTTGCTGCTCTCAACATCTGACTCTCAGGCCCCTGAGAGGTGCAGGACGAACACTGCAGATCAGGCGTCCCAGCCAGGTGTCCCGACAGCGCCCACAGGAGTCCCTCCTTCAGGCTGCCTCTTCTGTCCGTAGCTTTGTCAGTGTTTTGTGGTGTGACGGCGGTATGGTGAAGCCATTTGCCTTCTGGAACACAAAGAAAGTACTGAGACAAGGGTGGGCTATGGGGAGGGAGCCTTTGGAGTCTGGTGATCCTAGGCTCTTCAGTGACGTGTGGGGTGGGTTTGCTGTAATTATCTTGAAGTCATTCAGCACAATCATTAGAAATCCACAGTGACAACTTCCTTTGTTTCTCGCTCATTTTCAAGCAGGGATGCACGTCTTAGTTTACCAGCTCAAGAGTATGTTGAGACTTGATTTGTTTCTGACCCAGGTTACTTGGACATGTCAGTGATATGACAAGGCGGGTGGCTTACAGCAGTCAGGGACATCAACTACATCTCCATTCTTCCTGTCTCTGGTATCACCTCAGAGTGTGGCTGTCTTCCCCACTCTCGCCATGTGGGGCGTGTGCCTGGCTGTGGGGGAGCCTGGGTTTTGCTGGGAGCTCCACAGTACAGCGGAGTTTGGGGTGTTTTTTTGGACAGGTAGGAGACGGCATGGCACTGCTTGAGCCACACACCTCTGAACTCTGATGTGCAGGTCTCAGTCCATAGCTGTAGGGAGGTGGGGTGGAGGAGGGACTCTTAGGTTTTTCCTCAGTAGAATCTAAAGATGTTTTCTATGGAGCAGTCTACAGGATAAAGTTTTCCAAGGTTTGATTTTAGGCAACTATGTTTTTCTTTTTGATATGCTAGACTCAGAAAGATGCCTACAGAGAAATAAGTGGTCACTTTGTCCTTACAGGTTGCTAAATTTTCTTAACATGTGAAAATGAAATGGAATCCAGCACTCAAAGGCAGGGTTGCTGCAAGGCTGAGGCCAGCCTGGGTTATGCAGTGAGTTCCAGACTAGCCAGGGTTAGAATAAAAGGCCCTGTTTCACTCCCTACGTAAGGGGGATGTATCTGATTCTTTGCTGTTGATGTTTTCTTTCAGTACTGGGGACAGTGTGGCAGTGGCTGGGGCTGTCTGTGACTGGGCTACATAGCCAGGGAGGGGGCCTATACTGTTAGAGGCCTTTGAAAGACTCAGTTCCGAGGCATCCTTAAGTAGGGAGAGGTGCTGTTCACCAGGCTGGGCTATGTTTACTTTAAGCTGTTATGCGTAGGGGACAATCATGAGTAAAGTCTGTCTTCTGGGAATCTAGTATTCAGACTAACGCTCTATGCTGGGTCAAAAGATGAATTCTTTGTTGTCACCAGGGACAAAAGTAAAATTATAAAACATATAGACACCACTGTCTTGGCAGGCTATGGGTTCATCCAATTGTCTTATCAGCAGACTGTTTACTTCCTCAATTTAATGTTGTCCTTTAATTTTCCATTTGTTTGGCTTTGGAACTTTGTGTTTGGAGCAGCAAAAGTCTCCTGGAATCTCTCCTAGGACACTGTGTTACTTCCTATGTATAGGACATTGAAATGCTGTGCAGATTTGAAAACTACATGGCATTTTTTCCCTCCTCAGGCCTCAGTCCTCAAAGGGCAAGGTGGTGGCCGTAGTGCTCTGAGGGACAGGAGTGGACTGGCTCTGGGGCCAGTGTTCTCTGAGGTCACCCAGGACAGGGTCTAGGTTGGCTGAACTCATCTGAATGGAAGCTCTCTGTTCGCTGTTTTGTATTGCCCAAATGCAGAATGCCAGGTCCCTGCAGAAAGGTTAGTGTTGTTTATCAAACATTAGGGTTGTAAGTCAGAAGTGTAGTGCTGTTGGGAGCAGGCTTGGAGAGCCCTCCTGAGCACTCAAGGAGGTGCTGTTTACCTGCCTGAGGACAGCGTGGGCCTCTCAGGTGTCAGAGCTGCTAGGGAGGTTGGGTCCTTAAAGGGTGCTTTCATTTATAGGTTGTCATTTGTTCTGGGCGACCTGCTTCTGGAAGGTGGTGGCTGTGCTTTCCCGATTACAGTGACAGTCTCTTCAGTGCAGTTTTCTCTTGTCACTGTCCACAGCTTTCCACTTTGAGTTGGTTGTTTCTTTAATGTGCTGATTGTTGGAAGTGGGGTATCTGCACCCAGCTTCGGCGTGTTGTCCGGCTCAGGCTCAGAATGTGGACTTGACTGCGTCAGTCTCAACTGAGGTGCTCTGTAGGCATCACCCTGTAGTGGGCACCTGGCGTTACCTCCTTGGCAGCCAGTGTGAGGCCCAGTGCATTGAACTTTGGGTAATGATGGTTAACACTGTTCCTCTGGTCCAGGTACTCAGAGAGAAGCTGCCTTGTCTCCGGCTGCTACCTGAGAATGTCACGGTAGCTCATCATGAGGACACAAAGGGAAGCCACAGGACTTCATGGTGGTTCATTGGCCTTATAAACTCTGTGGAAGAATTTTCTAGATTTTAAGAATAATTTTTAGGGTCACAATAAGAAAAAAAACTGATGGCAACAGTTTGCACTGGAGGCAGATGAATTAGAACAACCTGGCCCAGGGTTGATAGTGCAGCCCCCAGGAGATAGATAGGGCTGAGAATTCATATATTCGTTGGGTTTCAAAGGAGCATCTGTCTGTGGGGACCAGAGTCTGGTCGGGTGGCAGAAAGGAGAGTCTTAAATGTCCCCCAGGGTTTCCTGTAGCTTCTGTAAGCTCTGAAAACACTTCCAACCCCATTTTGATTGTGTAAGGGAAGGAGGCTGACCTTGCAGGGCAGCTGGTGGGGGCTCAGTGGGGAACCTTTCTGTAGCCCAGGCATAATACAGAGCAGGGGTGGTGACGGTGGCTCGGGTTACCTTGTAGTATCAGGTAGACTGTGCCAGTGCACTGCGCTCAAGCCCGGCACATTCTAAGAAAGGACTGTCTGCCTGGGTTTACCAGGACAACACGGAGCGCCCTTATTTTACCTCTGAAATGTTCAGCTGAGACATCCGGCTGGGTAGAAGAAACCCAGGTCCCGAGAGAGAGAGTGGACTCAGTCACCCCGAGCAGGGTGTGAGCAAAAGAGGAGGAGCTTCCCCAGAGTTGGGGCCTCGGTGGCCCTTTTGGAGTCCTTGTGGGTGTGCGGCTTCTCGCCTCCGACCTGTAGATCCAGGCCGGGTGCAGGGTTTCATGTTGTCCTTCCCTTTACCTGCTGTCTGCTTCCTTTCCCGCGAACGTTGGTTATCGCATTCATCCAGCATTGTGCTGAGCAGTCCAAGAGGCACTTTTACAGGAGCATGTCCCTTACCCTGGCAAAGAGGCGGACAGGCAGGCTATCATTTCCAAGGTCATTGTTGAGTTGAAGATAGAGCTGTGTATTTAGGTTCTAAAAGTTGACTGCTGGAGTCAGTTGATGGTTTCTGCTGAGTGGAGGAAACCATGCCTCTGTCTCAAGTGTGAGGCTCAGGAGAAAGCTGTGTTCTGTGATAGCCTGGCCATCTGTCCCAGGTAAAGGCCTGACGGTTTCTTTCTTCAGTCGGTTTTTTGAAAGTCTCACTCTTTGTTTTGTAGCTCAGTTGAAATGTTGACCTCTTTGAGGTCACTAGAGAAGGCCATGCGCCCCCCTGCCCCCCCCCAGGGCACACCCTCTGTAGTTGCACGTTTGTCCTCACGGTCACTGAAGAAGACTGGTGGTCGTGCAGAGGTTGTGCACACTCTCTCTAGTTGCACACTTGCACAGTGACTTTACATAAGCAGGGCAGACCTGTGATCCAGGGCTCTTTTTGCTCTGTCCTGAACACGAGAGGAAACCATGGGGTCTGGCTCAGGTGAGCATCCTGCAGGCCGCCATGGCAGTCCCGAGTCCTGTTTCAGCCACCATGGCAGTCAGTGAAGCTCATCAGCCCTGTCCTGTGGTTTGAACCCTGCCAGCCCTCTGTTGAAACTTGAGCCCTGCTGGTGTGGGGCTCTTCAAGTCTTCCTATTCTTGGGGTTCATTTTCCATGGAGGTTACCTTCCCAGCATCTCTCACTAAGCACTAAGCTAGGAGAAGGGGAGACAAGGGCCTTGAGTCAGGCTCAACACCATCCTGAGTGCTGGTGCCTGTCCGTTGCCTAGAAAGGGCCGGTGTGTCTGCCTTCTCCTTTTTCTAATTGCACTGTCCTTGTTCTAGCTTTAGTCTAGAGAGATCTAAGATCTCCTTGGGGTCATTACCCATAGACTTAGCAAATCTGCCTTAGCTATGGAGCGTAGAGGTGAGAAATAACCATTTCCTGGTGTCTGGAGCCCATTTGCCCTAGACTGTCTTTTCACAGATGTGTTCATCTGAATCATTTTATTTTTTATTTACCAAAAGTACTGTACTTGGCTATTTGCAATGTTTTAAGAACCAAATGTTTTTGTGTTTTTGATCCTCAACACTTGGTGCAATAGAAGCCGCAAAGACGTGCCACTTTATCTTTGAAATGGACTTTGTATACCAATAAATTCTAGTTTAAAAGCAAAGTTCAGGTCAGTTTATTTCTGTTTGCTTGCTTACTTGTTGCCTGGGAATGTTCTAGGCCTGCACTCTGCCGCTGAGATACATCCTTAGCTCAGATTGTTCTTTCCAGTATCCGACCTCCACTTGAGTAAGAGGGACCAAGAAAGCATGCTGACCAGTGTCCTTTTCAGAGGCCTTTGTGTGGGAGGGTGGAGGTGCTTAGACTAGGAGTTGTAGATGGGGAGTCATTTGGGACCTGACAGAGGGAGCATGGATGCAGGTGAGTAATGCTGTTGCGTGACTGGACAGACCATTGTAAGTCCTTCCTGTCACCTTAAAACATGCCAGTGGCCACCTTGAGAATTATCCCCTGCAAGATACCACCAGTGTATACAGTACACTTGCCTTGATCAACAGGATTCATAAATTGTCGTGTTCTGATGCAGTTTTGTCTGGACTACTTGGGAAAATGTATGCGCCTAGACCACACTGATGCAGACTGAGAGCTTTTGGTTGAAGAGGATGGAGACGAGCCCTGTGGCCTTGTAGATTCTGACTCTGCAGAAGGAAACACTTTGCACCTTACCTGAGCTGCTCTGATTCTGTGGTAGAGGGATTTGGGGTATTCCCTTTGAATTCAGTTCTGTCTTAGAGTTTCTGTTGTTGTGAAGAGACACCATGGCCATGGCAACTCTTATAAAGAAAACATTTAATTGGAGTGACTTGTTTACAGTTTCAGAGATAGTTCATTATCATCATGGCGAGGAGCATGGCAGCTGGGTGTGTGGTGGCGTGCAGGCAGACATGGTGCTGGCTACATCTTGATCACAAGGCAATAGTAAGTGATCTGTCTCACTGGGTGTGGCTTGAGCATCTATGAGATCTCAAAGCCCACATCCACAGTGACACACTTCCTCCAACAAAGTCACACCTCCTAATAGTGCCACTCTCTATGAGCTTATGGGGGCCAACTACATCAAGCTACCACAAGTTTATTCACCCATCCAAACATCTGAGAATCCATCATACAACTACTAACTCTCTGGGTCTTAGAAAGTAACCAGGGACCCTGTTTGCCAAAGGCTTCCAGTGTAGGGATGAAAGCAGACACAAAACTATGACCCCGAAGAGGATATGGACATGCAGCTATGTGGGTAGTGTGCTTGCCTTGCAAGCCTTGAAGGGACCAGACCCTCACGCAGCTACAGAAAAGACCCAGCAAGATGTAGGCCTCTGATTCAGCACGTTACTGAGTCTCTGGCCTTATGAACTTGCTGTACCTGCCCCAGTCACTAAGAGGTCAGATACCCTCCATGTGTCAAGGAACCAATCAGAAGTTAGCTGACATACAGAGCATAGCAACCATTCCTGACCAATCAACTCAGGTCACCCAAGCCCGGAAGTGCACCAATCCTGAGACTGTTGTAGACCCCAGACACTCCCCTTGTTCTGCCCCAATGAATTCCCTGCCCCTTGGTCCCTCCAGGTCTTTCTCACCCCCACCTGCTGTGTCAGACAGGAGGAACCTAGTTAATACAGTTAACTTGTTAAATAATAGGACTCTGCTTTTGCATTGGAACAGGTCTCTTAGTGTTTTGAGGGGTTCAGAATTTGGTTCAGCATGAAGCCCTAGGTCCCATCTCCAGCACCATGTAAGGGATTTGGAGGTACATGTAGAATAATCCCAGCACTTGGGAGGTGGAGGAGAATCAGGAGTTCAAGGTTAGCCTGGGCTATTTCTCAAAAACGAAACAGCAAAGGAGCCCTAACACAGAACCAAGCTGTGACCGAAGAAGGGCTGAGTAGATGGCTCAGGAACTGAGAAAGATCAAGGGAAGCTTTGCATTTGTGCAGGACAGGGGAAGTAGATAGAGAAATAGGGAAGGCGCTTGGTAGCAAAGGACCAGGGCAAACCAAGCCCTGAGTGGGAAACCATGCTTTTAGCATAGGGTGGGCCTAGAGAATGTGGCAGGTTTGGAGGGAGGGAGGCTGGAAACATTTCATCAAACCCTTCTCAGAAAAGCAGTGTCAGGCTTCCCGGGTGAGGTCTAGAGAGGAGGCATGCTTGGTCCAGCTGGGCTGCCTGTTGCGTGTGTGCACTTGCCTCTGCGGCATTGTGTTCTGGGCGTGTGGCAGGTAGCAGCCCTCCAGGAGAGCTTCCAGCCATTCCTTCTGTCAGCTTCACCTGTTTGCACTGGGGCCATCAGCTCAAAGGCATCGAAGAGTAATGGCTCTCAAATATGCATCCCCTTAAGCTCTGGCTCCCATGCTAGGGAGCCAAGGGACTGGTCAAATGAATCGGCACGGTATTTAATCAGTGCAGTATTTACCAAGTGTGCACGGTGTTCCTTGCCACAACTGAAGCAGGCATTTAGAAACTGCCTTTGCTAAGAGGCACCAACTGCAAATGTGGCTCACAGGTAACTGGAAACTGGGCGTCCCCTTCCACTGGGTGTCTGTCTCCTTTACTCTGGCTCACCATCTGTTTGACTGCATGGGCCAGTCGGACTCTGTGGTGTCTTTGTCTGCCTAAACCTGTCTCCTCTCAAGACTGAAAAGCCATTGTCTAAACCTGCACTCACCTTGGATTCCAGGAAGAACAAATCATGTGGGACATAGCACAGATGATGTCCCTGCAGAGGCTGTGGCCTGGAGTAGATCATCCTGTAAAGGCTAGATTGATCTCTGTGAGTTCAAGGCCAGTCTGGTCTACAAAGCAAGTGCCAGGACAGCCTCCAAAGCTACAGAGAAAGAAACCCTGTCTTGAAAAACCAAACCAAAAAAAAAAAAAAAAAAAGACTAGATTGGACCGTTGGTGATGGCAAGAATTAACAGATTAACATTCAGGACCAGAACTGAGGCCAGGGTGGGCAGGCCCACACCTTAAACCAGGACTGCTTATATATGCCTCTTGCTTCCTGCCCCAATTATTCCTGTGTAAATCTCAAGCTCTTATCAGCATCCCCAAGATCAACATGGTATCTTTAGGCCTCCACCTTATTTGTTCCTCTTTATGCTCTGCTCATTTTGGGTTTTTGTTTGTTTGTTTTGAGAAGGTTCTCTTGTAATCCTTACGGGCCTCAGACTCGCTATGTAGCTGAGGATTGATCTTGAACTCTTGACCCTTCTGCTTCCATCTTCTGAGTGTTAGAAACACAGTCTTGCCATGGGAGGTGGTAGCACACACCTTTTAATCCCAGTACTGAGGAGGCTTGTGGGTCTTAGCCCGCCATGATCAGGCTCTTCAGTTAATGCAGGAATTCTGTTGTGACATCTGCTGATTTATTGTGCAACCTATTAAATGGAGCTCTTGGTGCATTGCTTTTGTTAGGAGCAATAGCACAGAAAGGGATAGACTGATCCAGGATCAAAGATGGGAGCAGAGGCAGGATGGAGACCTGAGGCTGCCTACCACAAAGAGATCCACATAACCGAGATGAGGGCACTAGGAAAGGTCCAGACGCAAGCACGGTGGTTTGACAGAGGTTGACATCCACGCCAGTTCAGAAAGGTGGAACTTGGGATGCACCTGAATTGAAACGCATGAGCTTCTATGTTGAGGAAGCTGCTACACAAAAGACAACAAGCAGCCTGTGGGCATGTCCTGGGAACAGTGAGGATGTGGAGAGGTGTCCTAGCCCTGGCTGGGTGATTCCGAGAGGAAGCAAACCCCTAAATGCAGGAGTGGGGTCTGTTTGGACAAAAGGCCACTAGACCATGACTGGGTCTTGAGGTGGGAGAGCATTAGTACTCAGGAGGCAGAGGCAGGCAGGTCTCTGTGAGGTCTTTTAGGACAAAAGGCTGGGAGACTGACCTTGACTGGGCCTTGAGGTGGGAGAGCATTAAAGAGGAACAATACATTCAAATCAACTTAGCATACCAGGCCTTAAAGGAATAGGGAGGCTTGCTCTTCAACCCAGACGGGAGCTTATTAGGAGCTTAAAGAGCCACCAAGGATAGGATCCTGTCAGTGTGGGTGCAGTGTCAGAAATCCCACAAGGGGGTATGTGACTGTCCTAATTTTCAGGGCCTGGCAGGAAGGCTTATGTGGCATGAGTTAGTCTGATACAGCCTGCATGATTTACAGGCATGGCCTACATGACTGGAGAATGGAGATGCTAGGTACAGGTAGGACTACAAATTAGGGGCTGTCAAAACTACAGCACAGACTGGCTTCTGTGATAGATGAGGCCTGATTTCTGTAGGCTGTGAGATCTAGCCTCTTATAGTAACTGCCGTCTTCAAAGGACAAACCTATGATCCAACATAACAGTACCAAATCTTCAATGCCAGGGGTTAGTGAACCATAGAGAGCTGCTGAGGATTTATGGGGAGCCAAGGAGAGACACTGTAGAAATCAAAGAGGGTGTTAAAGGGTAGGACGAACACCATGGAGAATGGAGGTGTCTGTCTGCCACTTGCCTGTTGCTAGCTTCTCTATCTGCAGCATCATGGGAAGAAAGAATAACTTTAATGAAGTATTGAGTTATCTAGCCACAACTGCAAAGAACCCCAAAAGAAGCAGATGTAGGACTTAGCTACTTCTTCAGTACCATGTCTGCTTGCATGACACCATGTCCCACCATGACGATAATGGACTAAACCTCTGAGCTTCAAGCAAACCACCACAATTTAATGTTTTCCTTCATAAGAGTTGTCGTGGTCATGGTGTCTCTTCACAGCAATAGAAACCCTAATGAAGTCACCTTGCTAATCAGCCTCTCACCCTCCATACCTGGATCTCTTTGGAATCACACCTTAAGGTCAAGCCTTGTTTTATGGCTATCAGTCTCTTGTTTTTTTTTGGGGGGGGTGTTTTTGTTTTTCAACTAAGACCACTAACGTGATTAAGGTTTGTTTTCCTGAAGATACTTCCATGTCTCATCTCTTTATCCAGAATCCCATAACATCTTGAAGGCAACACGAAGTGGTCTGTCTCACTGGGTGTAGCTTGAGCTAAGGAGACTTCAAAGCCTGCCTCCACAGTGAACATTTCCTCAAACAAGGCCACACCTCCTAGTAG